TCTATAGAGTTTCCAAAGGGACCACTCCCCACCTGACCTTAACCCTTGCTGGCCAGCAGGGCACTACCGCTTAACCCGTCCTCGCCGTCCTCAAGAGCCTCTCGCTCACAACTTTACACAATTTTAATTCAGTTTAATTTGTTGGCTGTTTATCTTTGTGACTGAGCTGCACAGCCCGGTTAAGGACCCTTCGCCAGCGTGTCCTTCACTCTTTAAGTTGGTTTAAGCAGCTGTAAGCCATTCATTTTCGTCGAGTACCTTACTCGCGCCCTCTCGCTCCAACACTTGCAGTGAGACCAGAATCATTTGTGAATCATTTACAAAATGATTTCTTTACAGTCTTTATAAGGAAACAACTTGACAAAACCTCTGTTCATTACATGTGTTTTCATTGAAGTACTTCAACTTGAGAGCCATTTTCTAGTGGAACAGCGTGGTTCATGGAACTGCACTTGATGAATGCCAAAAAAGAACAATAAACAAAGAAAATACTAGGTGGGAAAACCGAGAAATATCTGGATGGGTAAACTATATAAGTAATTGGTGTTTGTGTTGATGGCACGTGTCCTGCGCAAGATGGCCATCAATCAAGCCATCAAAGCGGCTAATCAATCGAAGCTGGCCAAATTCGAGGACTCGTCACCGAAGCTATGGCCAAAAAAAAAATATAATAAAAAAAAAGGCGTCAGAAGCAACACAATTTTCTAGTTCATTCAACTCAATCATTTTAATTGGTGTATTTCCTGTGCTCCATGCTCGAATTTATGTTTATTAAAGACGCTCCAATTTGCCGACCCATGTTTACTTTATTAACTTTCACAAATGTTTCCCAACTGGGAATAACTTTATCACTAAATTGGTTACCAAAATCGCCTTCCTGACTGGCTGTATTTTTACTTCTTTTTGGCAATTTTCCATTTGGGTTTCTTTCGGCTGCTTTTATTATATTTTTGTTCATTCCCAGGGCTTATCATTTCTATGAGGATCAGAGTGTAAGCCAAACAGTGGTGTGGGAAATGGGAAAATCGCATAACAGAGGCTACTGCAAGTTTGTTGTAATTATTTGTGGTCAAAAAAACCACCGATTTTCTTTTCTTCTTTATGTTGTTTTATCTGCTCGCCGTTTTTTTCGACTTTTCCTTGCATTGGCAATATATTTCCTAATTTTAAGACTCGTCTGTTTTTGTCTTTGTGCGCTTGCCAATATTGGAATAGGGGCTTATGGGGCAATGAAAACTATACAAAATTCTTAAGCGAAACGCATTATTTTACATCGAATCCTTACATATGTAAGTACTACAACTAATTAGAGTTTGCCTATCTTTAATATTATAAGTATTTTCGCTTATGCACACTACGAGCGATGGTTATTTCTTGAAATATTTTTTATATAAATATTTCCATTTAAGTTTGAACTTCAAGAGTTTGAACTTCAACTGTGAGTTCCCCCACCCATTGCTGATTGCTGTTTGCACATTTTTCGATTTCCATTAAACTTAAGTTTATCGGTCGGAGGTCATCGGGCGCGTCGACTCCCGGGAAAACCTCTGTTGACTTTTCCTTATCCCCGCGTCATCGTTTGCGGGGCATTAGCGGCACATATGTATGCTCTCCACATATCAAGACCCTCCATTGTTTCTATTGGATTTAGTAGTTTGGGTTCCCGGGTTGGGTATTTGTGTTTTATGGTTATGTCCGCATATTGGAGGCCATAAAAACGGGCCAAGGAACTAAAGTAGTATAGAGATATTGTCCTTTGTCGGGGCAATTTACATTCCATTTTCGCTTAGTTAGTTGCAACAAATTAAGGCAAGGGTCTTGGGCTATACTCGTATTAATCCAACAGTCAATTCATATTCAATTGAAGCCCTTTTTCCCCGAATCGATTGCTCATTTGCCTTTGGCCGGGATTTTCACACTTCGATATATTGATTGGTGGCAGAGAGGGGCAGGATGGCAGAAAGGGGCAGGAATAACCAGCGTGGTATCCACCAACCTACCCACTTGAGTGGCTCAAGTGCCACTTGGAGCAAAAAAGGCCAAGCGAAATGAAATGAAATGCGTATGCGATTGCGGCAGTGGTGACAATTTGCTCATATTCGAACATATCTGCCTTTTGCCAGGATATGTCACTCAAATAGGTTACAACTTGGTATACAAAAATGAAAGAATTCATATTTGCAATTGAATAATTGCGACTTTCTCTCAAATAAAATTGAATTTCATTAAAATTTTACTTCTACATAATGAAAGATAGATACTTTATTTTTATGGCGTACATATACAAAGAAATCCCTGTAAAATAATAGTTTCGCCAGAAGAGCTCCACTTTCCATTTATTTTGTTGACAGCACTGACTGTGACACATACGGCCATCAGCCCATGCTCCATTTGGACCAATTCCATTGGGCTCATCAGGAAAATATGGGGAATGGGCAACAGTAGACGCTTTGATTATTCAAATATATATAGAAAGTCGTTCGACTGATTCGATTAGTCCTCACTACGAACTACGGACTCCAGACACCAGACTCTGTTCGAAATGTGAGGGCATAAAAAATAATGAAACAGGCGCTGAGGATCCGACTTTCTGGGATTCCACTCGGGTTTGTGATGACATAGGCAAAACTATGTTGTTACCTTTGTGTTATTTGGTAGTGCCATAAAACCTGGCAAATACCTATGCCGAAATTGAATTTTTGTTGCACGCAATGGGATATTACAAAAATGATAAATCTGTCTTCCAAAATGATTAATTTTACCTTTGGCTATCCAATTTATATGATGATATGGTTTTATCCGCCCACTCTTTTGTGCGTTGCCTTCTGTTTTTTTGTGCACCTTGTTTTGCACAATTGTCACATTTTCTTGAGACACATACATTTTGTTAAATATACGGACAGTTCCCTGAATATACTCGTATCTTAACAAAGTGGAAAAAGTGGTTTAAGTGCGGTGAAGCCACGGCATCTGAAAGCGGTTTCAAAGGAAGCAACTTGCATGTGAGCAAACAAAAACCGAGTAATTTTAATAATATTACATTTGGATGGAGGAAATGTGGGGTGACTGGCATAAAAACTTGAGTGTCCCTAATCTACACAGTGAGTAAATTTTGTTTCCAACACTCTGCTTGCATTTATGAATGAAAATTTCATGAAAGTGAAATACTTTACTGTTTTTACTACGACTCGCATTAAAGTTGTATTTGCAACTTTTCGTTGCTTTCTGAGTATCACTCCGTTTTCTGGCAGTGTAAAAGCGTGCGAGTGCCAGCTGCCACGCCCCTGCACTTTGTGCGCCCTTCATTATTGTCCTGCCGACTCGGACTGAACTTGTATGTATGTACGTGCACTCATATCTCACAGCTGCCACATTTTATTCTAATCATGTGGCTCTCCCCAGGATATGGGATAATTCACAGGACGACGTGTGCAAGTCATTCGACGGACATAGCCAAAAACACATTTTTAGGCCATTCTACGCATATTGGCCAAGCAACTTTTCCCATTGCCTTTCGCTTTTCTTGAGTGCCCTTTGCAGAACTGGCAGATTGTACATTATGAGTGCCGCCTAATTGAAGTAACGACCCTCCAGCCACGCCCCCCCAAAAAACACAACAAAACACATTTAAATGTGCCTCACATGGAAGTAGTTAGTAGTAGTGGAATACTGGCTTGAACTTGGATCTGCAAAAACCTGTCAACTACGTTTCGTTTGAATATAAGATAATTGAGCAACGGGTCATTACTATTATTTTGACCATAGCTGTGCGAACACGCTGCAAATTGCCATTTCATTTGCATCTGTTGATGGAATTTTGCGGTGGAAGCCACCCACTCCCACTTCCACTCCCCCACTCCGCTATTCTAATGAGCTGCACAATCGTTGCCATAGCCACAAAATGCGGCCAAGATTGTTGCCATGCATGTAGATGTGTATACCACATGGCCAACAACAGCAGTTAATTGTGGCCTGGCTCGCCTAATGCCATACACCCAAGCTTTTGAGCATTTCATAATGATATTTGATATTATTGCGGCTGCATTTAAATAGTGGAAACCATAGAGACGAGATGCAGATGAACTAGCTGGATTTTCTAGTTGAACTTATTTAAAATTCAAGATTAAGTTCCTTGAAGATGCATCAGAGACAAGTTGGAGATGAACTGGCTGGATTTTCTAGTTGGACTTCTTTAAAATGCCAGATTAAGTCACTTAAAGATGAATCAGTTGAGTTGAATAGATACGTATTTGTGAAAGGGTATGACAAGAATATGGTTCGCTTTCAATGGAACGAAGAAAATGAAAATGAATTTTCCCCCCACTTTGCGACCGCCAATTTCAAAAGAAAACTGCAATGACAACGAGCACAAATGGCTGTCATAACTGTCAATAAAAACATAAGCGAAAACAACATAAACAACAAGCTGCAAACAGCAACAGCAGCAACAACAAAATAAATAACAAACAATGAGCGTACAAGTACAACAACCATGTGCTTTTGGATAATAAAACTCATAAAAATCAAGCAACGGCCAACAAAGCCAGAAAAATGTTAACGATAATATTGCCCTCAAGAAAATGACTGAGACTGAGCGATAAACCAAAAATGAGAATCCGAATTTTTATGCCGAGGATCGTAAAAAAACAATATTAAACTTTCTGCTTAATTGTGATTTGTCCTTACTCTTCAAAAACTGCGAGGCATCACAAAAATATGGTTTAACTTAGCTTATAACTGATGAATGTGCTTTTAATATATAAATATACATTTATAATATATATAAATTTTCACATGACTCCATTTTCCAATGCCTATTCATTTCACTAATTTTCACCATGAATGGATTGCCATCCGTTTTCCAACATCAATTATGACTGGTAAAATAAAAATCAATTTTTCACAGAATTCATAAGCGATGTAGTAAATGTTTGATTGGCTGCGTTTATGAATAAATAAATAGGTTATAATTGCGAAAACTGTTCGATTTCTAATTGCAGATACGTTTCTCATTTTGGAGCCTGGAATCACGGTTTGCCAACTAAGAAAGTGAGTGAGTACAAACTTAACTAATTTCAGTGGAAAACTTTCCTGCATTCCGCCGTTGTGCCAGCCCATTTAACACGGGCCCAAACAAGGGAATTAAGCTGGAAAAGCTGGGAAAAAAGGGGGAAATCCAGGTTGAGATCTGGGGAGCAAAACCAAGAGGCATTTTATGGTTATCCTGCCTCCTGTCGCAAAGGTGTAAAACTTTGAACATGAAATGACATGCCGATTAAATTAATGTCCTCGACTGCGTGGATTTCGAAAGAGATGGGTAGGCGACGACAGAGAGAGAGGGGGCTAATAAAGTTGCCTTGGGTCACATGAAGAAGCGTCATAAAAATAAAAATAATCAGAGGAGGACCGTCTTAGATGCCGAATAACTAATGCACTCATTTCGCTATTTAATGACCGGATTTTATCGCAATTTTATAATATTATTGAATAGCTTTTTAAAGTTTGAATTTATTGAAACATTGTACAATATTTTCAAGAATAAAATGTATTAATAGTACCCAAACTTTGCCATGTAACATTTAAGGTAAACTTTCGAATTAAGCCATGCAAAACTCAAACTTAAATCCCTTTTTGCTCACACATATATATTTGCGGGAAAATCTGGGCAAAGGGTCCATTGGCACCTGTGACCTGCGACCTGCGACATTGGGAGAGGTGTGAAAGAGGTCAGCAGGGGCAGAGTGGCATTCAGGCGCCACATGGTGGCATCATTAGAAGGGGACATCATGTGCAACATATAGTCACAATAAATGACAATGGCCGCTAAGCTGGAACGAAGCTGGTAGAGTTATTTCTCCATCTACAAAAAATGTGTAACAAAATATTTTGACCATAGTCTAATAAATATAGACAGACTAACCGAACCGCTTAAATGGCAGGTTTTCGTGGCGCCACAACAGCCAACTTTTTGGGGCGACCAAAAACCAGAAATCCGTCAAATAGAAATATCAAAACAAATTACATTTGGCCCGACCGCGGAAATTGCAATCAACGCAGGAATCGCATATGAAATGGCGACTTGCCGCCATGTTTTTGGCCCAAAAAGGCAAAGCCATCAACATTTCGCAACGAATTTGTGCAACGTTTTTGCCAGCAACTGTAGAACGCTGTTTTTGGCTTTTTTTATTATTTTTGGCGATTCAAGCGAAAAGCTGTGCAAATAGTTGGGCAATTGAACGAGCTGCTTGCCGCGAAAACGTTGCCACATTAATGTCAACATTAAAACCGAAATTGCGTTTGGCCAAGTTGTAATTTCCTCTAAATTCCATTTCTGCAACTGCAACGAGCATTGCAAATAAATCCTTAAAGACGGGCTGCACACTTATCAGCTTCAAGGGAGATCAACTATTAAGTTTGACTATATAATATTGACAATATAAAAACTATAGTTATTTTTCTTAATTTTGTAAGTAATCTTGTGGCTTGATGGCAAAATAAGTTGTGTGGGAGTGCAGATGGCACCTCTGCGAAGTTTCCCTTCAGCAATAACAAATCCAATGACAGGGCCAAAACCTTTCACCACGGATTATGGAGTATAAATAGAAGGAATGCCAAGTAAACGCCACAGAACTCAGCTGGCATTCTTTGAAAGGATACTTATATAAAATGCTAAAAATATTCAAAGCTGTCTGACGGCGTTTTGTAAATATAGCTCATTGAAGTGAACGACGCGGGTATGGCAGAAATGCGGATTTAATTAAAAACTCAATTCGATATCAATCCATACATAATATATAATATATAATATACTCGTACATATACAATGGAAATTGGGAAGTCTGCGTTTGTATGTGACTTTGGAATTCCCCCATCGAAGCCAAAAGCGTTCCCACCCTGGATTTTGGATAAAGGAATTTTCCTAAATAAACTTTGGCCACCGAAGGCACCGGACCACGAACAAGAAGCGAATAGCTTCGTCCTTTCATTCCGGCAGGACAGCAGCTGTTGCAGCTTCGTTCAACATTTGCCATTTCTTTATTATTTAATGAAAGCACATGAAAAATTAAATACAAATACTTGGCATGTGCGACAAGTGGACGAGCTAAATTGTATAAAGAAAAGCCATTAGCAAACCGGAGGCTAAGCGGAGGCTGGGAAAACATTTAGTTCACCCGTTTAAATATGCAAATGGATACTCGAAAACTATTTTATTCACACACGCACAGCCGCCCAGTTTCCCGGAATACAACTTCGTATTTTTTCCATATTTAGTGTTTGCTCCTCATTCTTGGCCTAGACCTAGAACCCGCCCTCGGCAGGCTGTTCAGTGTTATGTGCTGTTTACGAGGCCATAAAAGATGGCAAGACGAGACGAAAAGAAAGACGAGGGAAACGAAATGGTTGGGGAAAAGTCCAAAGTCCTACATATCCTGGCATCAAGCACACCGACGTTTACTCTACAAGAAGTCTACAATTAGCGCTTAAGAAATGAGCTTCTCTTTCTTGAAAAAGTTTACATAATACCAATAAATTACAGATAATAGTTGACGCCCTGGGCTAAAAACTTGAAAATAAAAACACCTTGCCCAGACCTCAAAGAATTCCGAAACCGCTGGAACAGACTTAACGCTTTTAACGTTTTCCCGAAGGCCGGCAAAGTGTTTAGAATTGGAGGCCTTCTGTCTGACATTGCGAAAGCTTTTGTACTGACAAGCAAAAAAGAAAAACCCACGCAGACAGACGGTAGAAAAAAAAAAAAAAATGGAAAACCCTCGGACACGAACATTCCGCATAAAAGCCATCGACATCATCGACAAGCTCTGACCAATAAGCCGGCTAGACCAGATCCCAACCGTAACTGAACCCGGCTCAAATCATGTCAACTTAGACCACCAACGCTGTAAAACTTGACCCATGTTTTGATACCCTGGAAGGAGGCCTATTAGCCAAGCCTAAATCGAAAATGTTATGATAAGCCAAGCTTATGCATGGCAAGCGAAATGAGCAAATGGGAAACTCAACCTCTGGAAAACACTCTGCTTTCCAAGCAACCTGTTGGCCAGGGTATGTTAGTCTTCGATTCGGGAAAGGCCGCACTTTCGTAGCAACCAACCGTTTCGCAACCCTTTTGGCCTCCGCCTCTGGCTTTCGCCACTGCCAGTGCCAGTTGGCATATTTGCACGGGAAACGGAAAGCGGAAACTGTTCTGTCCCGTGATGGGATGGCTGTCCTGGGATGTTATAGGGCCTATTGTGGGCCAGTGGCTCTGGGCCCTGAATCTGGGAGTCTGGGAATCTGGGTTTATGGGGGCTCCTGTGAAACAGGGGTAACTGGTTAACTGGGAATCTGCGTAACTGGTGGTCCGAGGTTTGGAGTGCTTTTCGTTGGAGCAGCGGAAATGATTTGCCTTCTTATGCGCCTGAGCAAAAGTCGCGATATCTTATTGAATTTTCCATTTCAATGGGAAATTTCTCTGCATTCAGTGTTTGCGCTTCGTTTCGAGGTTTTCATCTTCTTTTTTATGATAATTGGATAAATACGTTCAAGTCCACTGATTTATTCATTGGTGGTTGCTAAATCCACCTGAGTTGAGCTGAATGGAATTTTTGATCAAAGATATCAGTTCATTAGTTCTAAATTAAATTATATATATATAATATGTATATTAGTCGATATTTGCGTTTGCTTTACTCTTGGTTTTTTTTATGAAGACTTCTTTAATTGGCTTTGTTATAAAGTTGCCATAACCTTAACCTGAAACATAAATATCTCCTTGTGTGTTTTTCCTTATATGTTAACTGCATTAAGTTAAATAGCAGAAACGAAAAATAAAACCGAAGTAAATAGAACTAATTTATCTGTTACTTCATATGTGCGGAATACTTTGTCCTTTCGATTTTTGTTTGTTTTTATTGGTGGGACAAATGTCGCATTGGCTCTTCAATTCCGCCATCTTCAACCACTTTTTGTCTTTATTGTGACGAGGACATAAGTGGCTATGGATTTGCCATTACAGGGCCATAACGATAACGTGTTCTGCGTATAAAATCAAGGAGCACCAATTAAATAGGTCGTATGTACATAAGTCATTTCAACTTATCTATAAATCCGATTACTGTGTACGAAATACCGACAATAATAGCTGCAATGGGAAAAACCTTATTGAAAAGCTTTCAGCCAAAACAAAAGCGATAGAATCGTTGCATCTCCTGTAATTTTCCAATGAAAGAGAGTGTGAAATTGTTCCGCTGCTCATTATATATATGTATATATATCTATGCTATATACATATATTTATATATATGCATTTCACAGAAGGGCCAGACTTGTGAGTACTTATATAACATGCATGCCCACATAGCAGCCATTTGGCTTATACACAAGGAAGGCGGCCTCGGTTCACCTAGCCTCACTAATAGTAAATTTGAAATTGCAGCGAGAGAACATCGAGCAACTCGACTATCGGATACTCAGCGAGAAGGAAATTTCAAAGTAATTTTTAAATATTTTTTTTTACATATAGCTGCTAATTTCCTTCGATTGGTATTACGAATTTGTTACATTTTCAGTCCCACAGAAGCGTCACTTTTATTGCTAAGGTAACTGTGCCGTGTTACGCTGAAACAAAAAGACAGATGGGTCCTTCAGAGGTTGAGAAGGGAGGAGAATGTTCTTTTCAGGGAGTTTGGTTGGTTGCCAAGAACGCAGCGCCTCTGGCCAACTTTTGACTTGTGTTTTTACAGCTGCTCAGCGTGCGCGTTTGCAGGTGTTACGCCTAAACTCCCACCACCCATTTTGCCCACGCCCCCATCTATCAGCAGCATCTAAAGCAATTTTCACCATTTTCTAGTGCGCTGCGATATTTATATGCGTTGACAAGTTGAGGGAAGGCCCACGACCACTGAAGTAAGAAAATAATCACTTAAAAAAAGTCTTAATAGATTGACAAAACTATAAAAATATATAAAATAATATATATCTTATAGGAACACCCTAAAATACCACACATTGTGTGTCATGCATTAAACTCGGCTGATTTTCAACGAAAATGTT